AAGCTTTCTCCCTCCCCCCCGTGGCAGTGGCAAGGCCGGCCCGCCAAGCTTTCTCCCTCCCCCTCCCCCCCAGTGGTGGCGGTGAGGCCAGTCCATCAAGCTTTCTCCCTCCCCCCTCCCCAGCAGCAGCGACGGCGAGGCCAGCCCGCCAAGCTTTCTCCTTCCCCCGCCCCTCCCCAGTGGCAGCAGCGAGGCTGGCCCGCCAAGCTTCCCTCCCCAGCAGTAGCGGCGGCGAGCCCAGCCTGCCAAGCCTTCTCCCGCCCCTGTTCCCTGTGGCGGCGGCAAAGCCTTCTCAGAACTTTCCCTTCACATGTGCAGGAAACGCTCCTTTACTTTTGGGGGGATTTGAGTATTCCCCCTACAGTTTTTTACAGTTTTTAGATTTTTCTGCACACTTGGGGATTGCCCCAAATGTGCAGGAAAATCTCCCTGCCCCCCAGGTGTGTCCGATGTGCGGATTTAGATATCCGCACGTGAGGGGCGCCTTGGCTATTAGATATATAGATTACTTTCAATGGTACTCAAGGACTGCAATATGATTCAGTTTTTAAAATAAAGAGCTGGTTTCCCTAGATGTAGCTTATTCTACAAGCATACAGCATTCCAAGCAGACTAATGCTTTATATTAGCTACTTCACCCATACTAACTTTCTGCATACCTTTGAGTTTTCAAGAGCTATTAGCTCATGTTGTAGACTGAGCACTTCTGAAGACATTGTTTCATGAACACGCTCTGACATTACACGTAGTTCTTCTGATTTAGAAGTAATGACCTCCTTAAGATGGTCTACTTTGTGCTTCAGCTGCTTTTCACTAAGCAGACTTTCATCTAGCTCGGATTTCAGTTTTTCCACCTTGGAAATAGCACATTTATTATGTAATTATTAATATTATGTAATTATCATGTACCTTGCATTTTGATCCCCTGAAACATGTCTCTCTGCAATTTACAACTCTGCAATGTTCCACCTAGCTTCAAAACCCCAATAGTACATGCTGGCAGAAGACAGACCAGACCCTCCTCCCGCTCTCACTTCCCAACTCAACCACTTATGAATTGCAGCTAATTTTTAAGAATATAGAGAACAGCTGCATGTGCCACTTGAAGAAAATATATTGTTTAGTATCCAAAACGACCAAGATAAACTCCAATTATGTTGTCATTCTACTCCACACTGTCTAATCAAATTTAATAATCAGCTATGTTACAACTTAGCTAGAAAAAGCAGTTCTAATTCAAAAAGCTTTGTCCAATGAATTGTGTCTAGAACTTTTTAAAGTAATGTACAGCAAGTAATTATTTGCTGTAGGCATCAGTCATAGACAATGCATACTTCACATGTTGGTATACCCCAAACCTTATTCTTAAGTTCATTTATTTCTTGTCCATGCAGTCTCTCCAGTTGTTCACGCAGCGTATCTAGCTGTATATTTTGTAGCTGCTTCAGAGTATCATATTCAGCATTTAGACTTCCCAACATTCTAGTCTTTAGTTCTAATTCTCTCTGGAGAGTATATTTTTCTTGTTCAAACGTCTGAAAAAGAAATGTCATACTTTTAAGAAGACCGCAATCCATCGTGCAGTGTGACTAGATCCATATGCATATTGATTGATTCAACTTTCTCTCAATAGTGCACACACACAAACATATTAAATTATTTTAAAATTCACTAGGCTTCAAATATTACTTGCAATGAGAAGAAGAGTTTTTTAAGAATAAGGAGTCCCACTCAACATACATGAAAGAGGCCAAACAGTGTCAGTCCTGGAGAGATAGAAGAGGGATTTACACACATTGAGGTCTTCTGGCACAACTTCTTAACCCTCTGTCTTTAAAGAGTTCTCAGAAGACTCACTAGTGTGACATTCTGTCTGTTCCCTGTCCCAATTGTGTACACAAATACTTTATCATTGGGGCAAGGATTTAAGAGGACTGCATGTGCAATTAGCAATCTTTTATGTATTTAGAGAATAATAAACCTTGAAGGAATTATAAATGCTATCTACAAGGCACAGTAAATTAATCCCACAAAAAATATCACAGTACTATAAATACTTCTGCCCATAGGCAGAAGTAGAGAAACAATCTTTTGAACATAGGTACACAACATATGGAATGAAATGGAATGGAGTAAGAGCTAAGAATGGCAAATTTCACCTTCAGCATGGCCTGTAAAGCATTTAGCCTTGAAGTACAGATCCACTCATTTGGATCTGATGCCACAAGCATTCAGGATGCCCTCAAGCACTCAAGGCTGCAGGGCGCATGCGTGGCATGGTGCAACGATGGGCGGATTTTCGGAACGTTCCGAAGCCGCCCGATCCCTTTTCGTTTGTTCGGGAGCCCCACAGTCCAGAGGGGCTCTCGCCGGACCTCCCAGAGAGAGGACCGGTGGCAGGGGGTTTGTCTCGGCCCCTCCCCACTCGGGCAATGTGTGTGTGGGGGGTCCGGTTACTGCTTCGAAGTAGGAACTATCAGCGGAGTGAAACATGGCTGCCATATTTCCACCTACTCACGACCATCCATCCTTTTAATTTTGTTTGGAATTGAATATGTGGTAACACAGAAGGAAAAGCCAAGGAACGAACTTGTGAGTACACATACTTCAAACTTTGAAATAGAGAAGATTGGTGGTGATATCACCTTAAATCTATTTGCTCAAAAAGGAGAGGTTCAGCGACCAGAGGAGGTTTGGGAGCGTTTTGAACATTTTCTGCAGTGTATGCAACCTTGGGGAACTGTTTTTTGTTCCTCTTCTCCCTTGGCAAGGACTTATTATGGAAAAAATGTGTTAAGTGTCTTGAATGATTATAAGAAAGCGAATGAATTGAACTGAACGGTGTAATTAAAATGGCGTCGGTAATACAGGAGGAGGAGGAAATGGATAAGAATATGCTTGTGAGAGATCTGTCTGTGGAACAGTTTTTGAGGATTTTAAGGGAGCAAATACAAAAAGGTTTTGGAAAAGCCTGTGTAAATTTGCTAGAAACAACATATAACCCTCAATTGGAAATAAAGGAAGAAGATCAAATAAAAGAGTGCAGTGAGTTTCAACTTATGATAAATGAAGAAGAAGCTTGTCTAATGTCAATGGAAACAATATATCGTCCTCAATTACAAATAATGAAAGAGGAAAACTTGGGACAGTGTACTCAGAGGGACATGGAGGATATGGGATGTTACCAAACGGAAGAGTGCTCTGAATTTCACTTCATACCAATTAAAGTAAAAGAAAAGAAACCAACAAAGCCCTTTTATTTAAAATCAGAGACACCAAAAAAGAATGTCCAAGGATCTTTCTTTACAGGACAAAGAAAACCGGAAAGAGAGAGAGAAAAACGTTGTCTTGGGAAATTGAAAATAGACAACAAAAAATTTGGAATTAGAATGGCTGAAAGTTAGAAAAAGGAGACTAGGAAAAAATTTCCACACACTCAAAGAAAAGAGACATGTAGACATGTTACTTCAAAAGGATAGATTACTAATTCATAGGAGAAAGATTAAAATATATGAATTATGTGAAATGTTTGTTGTTGCTGATATATGCCTAGCTAGAAAAATTGGATCTTTAATTGCTTGTGATAATGGAATACTAAACAAATAGAGTAAGTTAATGATAAGCTATGTTTTGCATTGGTTGATATAAATGTTTGATTGTTAGGGCAAGTTAGTGATGTGTTAGAAAGGTTTAGATAGTGAGAGTTGGTGATAAATCAAAAACTTTTAAGGTGGAGTGTGTGGGAGAGCTCCTGCACCTCTTTTTCTATGAAATGACCCCTGCCTACAACATATGTACCTGTACTATGGGACCAAGACATGTCTACTTACAGCCCCACACACATACACTGAACAATGTGTGAAGCAGCCATAAGAGTATTAAGAACTTCACTGTATGCTTAACAACTGGGAAAAGGAAAGCCACCCTGAGCAGGAGAAATGTGAATCAAAACAGAGAAGCTATGTGGGGTGATATTTGGAATGACTGATTATATGAAAACACACAAACATACAGTATGGTCTATTTCAAAGTTCAGATGTGCATGAACAAATATGGACTACAGAAATTCTCACTATGGCAAATACTATGACTAATTCCCCAGACATTTTTCACAGCTATCCAATGTCAACGTATTAAAAAAAACCAGGCTTAATTATGCAAAACAATATGATCAATATGTCTAATACTAAAGTGGGTGGAACATATGTCAATTCTGAAAGCAACAAAGCAAGGCCAACCACAGACAGGTAATGTTTCCCTCCACCTACTAATTTTAAAAAATCCCAATATTATTGCTAGTCTACCACACAAACCACGACTATATAATAAACCCTTTTTACAGTGCAATCTTTAAAAAAGTTACTCCAGTTTAAGCCCATTCATTTCAATGGTCTTAGACCAGAGTAACTCTGCTTAGGACTGCGCAGCAAGTTTTCCAGAGGCAGAGATGAAGTTTGGGGGGAAGAACAGAGAAGACATGCATTATGAGAGTTCAGACAATTTTGAAGGTAATGGATCAGGGACCAGGAATGTAGTGAGCAATTCCCCTGTGACCCCCTCAAGATTCTGATCTGGAAAAGGAAACAGCCCCTGATAATTTATAGTATTCTACAGTAAAGACTGTGGAAAACTAATATTGGGTGATTTCTTTTCACTCAAGCTCTCATGCATAGGACAGAGAGGAAGAGGCTTTCATTGTACTAAGCAATGCTAGATGAGCAGCTTCCTGTTTGCCTCCCCTCAAAACTTCAATCCTGGCAATCAGGCTACAGTGGTGTCAAGGAAAGCCATTTTTCCTATTTCAGTGGCTACATGAAATCTTGGTTCAGGCTCTGAAAGAGGCCTACATAGAAACTTTCCCTGGAGACATAGATAAGAAGAGGTGCTGTGACCTTGGTAGATTGCTTTCAGATGGCTGGTACAGCTAGTAACTGCCTGGGAAGCAACCAGCCCAATTAAGCCCATTCCAGAGGGCCTAGCTTATTAGCACCTGTGCGTTGGAGTGAACGACCCTTAAACTGCAGATAGGTTTCGTTTTCTCCTCTGCTCTTAGTATTAGGGGATGTCTTAAGCCTAGTAACAGTGAGAAGATTATATCACTTCTCTGGTCTGTGACTGGTCAAAGGCCTAGGCCGGTCAGAGACCCCTTTCTCTATAAAATAAGGTTTTATTCAGTAGGATGGTGGTGCCTAGGAACTATGGGGCCTTGCGTGGTCAATAGTTCCAGAGCAACCCAGCAACTGGCATTCCCCTTTTGACTGCCTGGATGGGCTGAATGAAACATCTTGTTATGCTGGATTACTGCACCTCCTTGCAACCTGGAAAGGTAACTCTGAAACTGTCTTGTAAGTTTTAGCTATGCTGGTTATGCTTAGTGTTTATTATTTTATTGCCTTCACAGTCTAGTCCTGTTTTAAATACGTTTGCTCCTTAATAAAACAATTATATTTTACTCTGTCATAGTATTTGTGCTCTTTGAACCTCAAAGGCTTAATCCATTGCCTTAGACTCTTGACCACTGCCAAAAATAACTGTTTGTTCCTGAACTCAGTCTGCAGTTTCACTCTGCAGGGCTGCCCTTTGTGTTAAGTTCCATAGCCAGTCGGGAGATTTGGTCTTTTGCTCCAGGACTGTTGGGAACCACTAAAAGACCTGGTGGCAGACTACCCTAGGCTTGACGGTTTTTTAGATTCCCTTAAGTAATTTGTAATTTTGCCTTGCAACCTGTTCTTTGAAACCAAACGTGTGACCCAGAGGGGTTGGCGTTTGTGACAAGTGGTCAAAGACTGAGGATTACAGTGAGGTGTGTAGGAAGCTCAGACCTGAGAGTTCAGCAGTATCATACTACACTGTGGGGAGGAAGACAAATATTCTGATTATTTTCCCATTTTCTGTACTTCATGGAGAACACTAACTTTTAAACACTGTTTCATAACTGAATGCCATTAAATTGTTAACAGTTTAGGCTAAAGGACCAAACCAACACATTAGATGCTTTATGTAATACATTTATCAAATTTAATTATTATAGCTATGCTAGTCTTGCTTCTACATCACTAAATAGGCTGGAATGTCATAGCTCAAAGCATGTTTCTACATCCAGTTTTCAAAGTTTACCTCTGTTAAAGTGACCATTTCATTTTGCAGTTCATCCAGCTGATTCTGCAACACATTCTGCCCCTCCATCAGTTCTAAACCATATTGCGCTGCCTTTCTTCTTTCCTCTTCAGCCTCTTTCAGCTGACTACGGAGACGTGAAATTATCTCCTTATCAATCTCCATCTCTTTTAACCCTTAAAATCAAATCTGTGAAAGAGAAAATAAAGAGTTGTGTCCTCAGTAATTTAATTCCTACTGATAAAAGTTCTCTCTGTGTTCATCACAAAAACGAACTATGAAGGGTGTATGGACCTAGCTTTTTTTCCCTCCTAAATTTTTAATATTGAAAATAAATGTCAGACAACAAAGCCTGGTTTGGTCTTCAACACAGATCCATTTCATAAATGCTTCTTCTGCAAATGCCTCCTCTTTGCCTGCCCAGCATCAAAGACAAGCTAACATTTGGGGATGTACACATGCACACAGAAGAGAGGATTTAAATTAAGGCTACTTAGAGCCATCAAAAAAGGGAGGAAAAAAATCAAAAATCAGTTTCCTATCACCACAAAATATGTTTTTACGCAACAATCTGTGTTAGATTTATCTAACCACTGTTACAATATTATATACGGCATAATGCTAAATGTTTATGTAGAAGTAAATTTCACGGAGCTCAATGACTGCTACTACCTAATTACGCTTTGAACAGCAGTTTTTCTTCATACATTTTAAACTAAATTGGTCTATTAATACAATAGTCTTAATAGTCTTATGCATTAGCCATAAGCCATAGCAGTTTCAAAAGTACACTTAGTGTACAAACAAAGCAAGTAGCTGTAATAAAAATACAGTTCATACATACAACACCTGTAGGATTTATTGTGTATAGCCAAAAACTGTTATAACCTAACAAAGAACATAAAAAATAAATCAAAATAACATCATTAAAATAACTAGATCTAAAAATATTTACATTAAAACATTTAACCCTTCAAATACAACTCCCACCCTATTTTCTTGTCTGCCAAGGCAAACCATTACACTCTGTATGAAATCAGTGAATCAGTATCTGAGTGAAAAAAATCAGCTTATTTGCTTCTGCAAAGCATCCATAAGTACTTGTGGTGGTCATCTTATTTTCTCCTCCACCATTATTTCCCTTTCCTGAAAGCCCCCATAACTTCCCCCTTTTCCTGCTTCCTTCTCTCCTTCCCACCCACTAGCCAGCCATCCTTTGTCCGAACCCATATTCAGCTTTTCCTGCCTCCCACTCACTGTTCAAACTATCGCACAATTGCACTCATATCACACGCTAGCAAGGTCATGCTCAAGATCCTACAAGCTAGGCTTCAACAGTACGTGGATAGAGAACTGCCAGAAGTACAAGCTGGGTTTAGAAGAGATAGAGGAACGAGAGATCAAATTGCCAACATTCGCTGGATTATGGAGAAAGCAAGAGAGTACCAGAAAAACATCTACTTCTGCTTCATTGACTATGCTAAAGCTTTTGACTGTGTGGATCACAACAATCTATGGCAGGTCCTTAGAGATTGGAGTACCAGACCACTTCACATATCTCTTGAGAAACCTGTATAAGGGCCAAGAAGCGACAGTTAGAACCGGATATGGAACAACTGATTAGTTCAGCATAGGAAAAGGAGTACGACAAGGATGTATATTGTCACCTTGCTTATTTAATATATATGCAGAGTACATCATGTGAAATGCTGGCCTGGATGAATCACAAGTGGGAATTAAGATTGCTGGGGAAAAGATTAACAACCTCAGATATGCAGATGATACCAATCTAATGGCTGAAAGTGAAGAGGACCTACAGAGCCTCTTGCTCAGAGTAAAAGAGGAGAGCACAAAAGTGGGCTTGAAGCTCAACATCAAAAAAACTAAGATCATGGCATCCGGCTCCATCACTCCTTGGCAAATAGAAGGGGAAGTCGTGGAAGTAGTGACAGACTTCACGTTCCTGGGATCCCAGATCACCGCAGACTGTGACTGCAGCCATGAAATTAAAAGACGCCTGCTCCTTGGGAGGAAAGCGATGGCGAACCTAAACAGCATGATAAAAAGTAGAGACATCACCCTGCCAACAAAAGTCCGCATGGTCAAAGCAATGGTATTCCCAGTAGTCATGTATGGCTGCGAGAGTTGGACTATAAGGAAGGCCGAGCGCCAAAGAATAGATTCTTTTGAACTATGGTGCTGGAGAAGACTCTTGAGAGTCCCTTGGACTGCAAAAAGATCAAATCAGTCAATCCTAAAAGAAATCAACCCTGACTGTTCCCTGGAAGGCCAGATAATGAAACTGAAGCTCAAATACTTTGGCCACCAAATGAGAAGGGAGCACTCACTGGAAAAGACCCTGATGCTGGGAAAGATTGAAGGTCAAAGAAGACGGGGACGGCAAAGGATGAGATGGTTAGACAGTGTCATCGATGCAACGAACATGAAATTGAGCACACTTCAGAGGACGGCGGAAGACAGGAGGGCCTGGAGGGAGATGATCCATGGGGTCGCGAAGAGTCGGACTCAACTGTGCGACTGAACAACAACAACTCACTGGCAGCCTCTACCCAGAAAAACGATGGGTCATTTGTGTGGTGCTAGTCAGGCCACTCCCAGATGCATGCTGCAGGAACCTGCAAGGACTCTCTCCATCTCCCCTACAGTATTTTTTCTTTCCCTCCACCTGGCAGTCCCCATATCCTCAAGTTTCGCTGCTTCCATCTCTCATTCCCACCCACCAACTAACCTACTGTTTATCCGCCCCCCCATCAGCTATATTTATTTACTTCATTTATACTCTGCCTTACACCATTTTCCTCTTCTCAATTTTATCCTCAAAATAACCCTGTGAGTATGTCAGTAACCCTGTGAGTATGTCAGACTGAGAATGTATAATCAGCCCAAGATAATCCTATGAGTTTCATAGTGGACTGATAGTCCCGGATCGTAGTCTGAAATTCTAGCCACTGCACTGCTCTGGCTTTCGTGGGGTGGCTGCTGCTGAACAGAAACAAGTAGCCAGGTCTGGATGAGTTAAGTAAGTCACCAGGTGGTTCCTGGTGGGCTTGGTCCCAATGAGTCCTCTCTTAAAGACAAAACAGACCTGCCCCCATGCCTGCCTCTTACTGATAGAAACCAAGTCTTGAAATCTGACAATACTGCTGTGGGTGCCTAACAATGGCCAATGAGAGCATTTGTTCCCTAAAAATACAGATTCTGCTTCTATGGGATGCTTCTGGGATGATTTGCAGGTCTGTAGAAAGGACTCTCTTGTTTGTTCATGGCTCTAGTCTCCAGATTTAAGAATCCACAGAATTGGCCATGTTAAGAATTAGATATACAAGAAGCGGGGACACGCGATACTCGCGGGGGTAGAAGGAGCTCCACGTGGAGGAGGAAGCAGCCGCAGGTGAGTCTTCTCCCCCACCCCCACCCCGCAAAAACGGCGAGGCCTGGGCCTGCCAATCCTTCTCCCCCACCCCCCTGCACCGGTGGTGAGCCGTGCAGGCCCACCGAGCTTTCTCCCGCTCCCTCTGGGCACCAGCGGCAAGGCCTGAGTGGCTCCCAGCTGCCAGGCCCACCGAGCCTTCTCCCACTCCCCCCCAGTATCGGCGGCGAGACCCGCCGAGCCTCCCCCCCAATGGTCAGAGCGTTGTCTGCGCATGCACAGGGAACACTTTTACTTTGGGGGGGAGATTTAAATATCCCCATATATTTTCTTCAAATTTTTAGATTTTTCTACACCTGGGGACTGCTCCAAGTGTGCAGGAAAATCTCTCTGCCCCCCCAAGTGCCCCCAATGTGCAGATTTAAATATCTGCATGGAGGGTGCAACTTGGCTATTAGACATATAGATTAATATAGTATGATACGGAAAAAATAGTTTAAGAGCTTATAATTAAAATTTAATGACTGTGGAATAAAAAAAAGTTAAAACATTCATTAAAACCCAATTTTAATTATTCCTGGGCTCTTGGACAGCTGCAACCTGATTTTAGCAGTCAACTAAGTAGCCATTCAGTGACTTCCTACATAAGGAAGAGCTGAAGATGAGTCTCAAACTTTTCCTTGATCTCTACATATGGGCAGAACAGGGCAAATATCTGAGTAGCAAGCACAATACTTTAATCCTTTTTGAGAGACAACACTTGAAACATTAAAGCAATTATTTCCCATTAAAGGACAAAATAAACGACAAACTTGCACACTACTATATCTGTCAAGTGTTAACCATAGGGCACAAGGGGAAAAAAAGATAACTGGCATTTCCCCCCTCAACAATGCAATCAATCTTTCACCATGATTAGCTAATGTTTAAGAAACAGCCACACAAGCCTCCTTGGACTCACTTGGTTTGCGCCCCTGGGGTTTAGGGTGACCGGGGTGCACCACATGACCTCCAAAGACTTCCAGGCGGTGTGCTCGATTGTTACACCGGACCCCCAGTCTCCTAGCTTTCAGCCCATATGGCTGAAAGCTAGACGCTTAAACCTAAGATTGACACAGAGTTGGATAAGTTAGTGACCCAAAGGGTTTTGGAACCTGTGCCCCATGCCCTATGGGAAAACCCTATCGTGACCCCAGTTAAACCCAACGGAGACTTCCGCATCTGTGCAGATTACAAATGTACAATAAACAAGGCCTTGCAGGACCATGCATATCTGGTCCCGGTGGTCAGCCATGTTTTGGCTTCTCTGGCAGGCGCTAAGGTCTTTGGTAAGTTGGACTTAGCCCAGGCTTACCAACCGCTCCCAGTCGACGATGTGACCGCAGAGACACAGACGACTGTGACGCACCGGGGTGCGTTCCAGGTGCAGCGGCTACAGTTCAGGGTCAGTGTAGCCCCAGGAATTTTCCAGAATCTCATGGGCTCTCTCCTTAAAGGAATCCCCAGAGTGCAGCCCCTCTTTGACAATGTTCTGATCACCGCACCCACAGACGAGGAGTTCGCCAAGAGACTGCGCGCCGTCCTGAAGCGTTTCCATGCCACCGATCTCAAGGTAAAGCAGGAAAAATGTCTCTTAGGGGTCCCGCAAGTCAAATTCTTGAGGTTCTCCATTGACACCCAGGGCATCCACCCAACTCCCAACAAGATCCGCACCATCGTCAACGCCCTGGCACCCACCCACTACAGGCATTCTTGGGCCTAGAACTTTTACCGTTTCATTCCTGTCACAGAAGGCAGCAGTCACAGAGCCACTGCATCGGCTCCTCAACAAGAAGGCTCCCTGGGTCTGGGGCCGGAAGCAAGTTGCCGCATTCCAGGCCATCAAGGAGCTGCTCACTTCAAACACCGTCCTTGCTCACTTCAATGAAACGCTGCCCATTGTCCTTGTCTCCGACGCTTCCCTGTATGGAGTAGGAGCCGTCCTAGGTTACCAGCTACCCAACAGCAGGGAGGTTCCTGTGGCTTACTACTCCCACACCTTGTCCGCGGCTAAGCGCAACTACACACAAATCGACATGGAGCCATCGGCAATCGTGGCGGGAGTCAAGAAATTCCATGATTACCTCTACAGGTGGCTCTTCACCATCGTGACTGACCACAAGTCCTTGCTGGGTATGTAGGCCCCAGTTCACCAGATGCCACAGATGCTATCCCGCAGGGTGCTGCATTGGTCTATCTTCCTGGTAGGATACCAGTGCCTTTTCCTCCCGCTGAGATGAGCTCTACGCGCACAAGGGTTGCCTGCCGTGGGGAAGCCGGGTGGTAGTACCAACACCACTACGCCAGCAAGTTCTTGGGGCGCTACACGAAACACACCCGGGAATCGTCCGGATGAAGGTGCTGGCCTGCAGCTATGCATGGTGGCCCAGCCTAGACAGCGCCATCGAGGACTGTGGAAAGAGCTGCCAGGCCTGCCAAGAAACCCGACCATCGCCACCTGGGGCCCCAGTGCAACAGTCGAATCCACCCACAAACCATGGTCCCGGTTACACCTGGACTTCGCAGGCCCCTTCCAGGGACAGATCTTCTTCATATTGGTAGACCCCTACACCAAATGGCTGGAAGTGGTGCCCGTCTTCTCCACCTCTTCCACGGCCGCAATCCAGGCCCTCAGACAGATCTTTTGCACACACGGCCTACCTGACACCATAGTCACAGACAATGGAATGGCCTTCACATCGGATGAGTTCCAGGAGTTCATGGGCTGCTACCTCATCCGGCACATCCAATCCACTCCCTTCCACCCCGCCACCAACGGCCAAGTAGAGCGGATGGTGAGGACCACAAAGGAGTCTCTCTGTCGGATCATCCATGGGGATTGGGATCACTGGCTCACAGCATTCCTTTTCGGCCACCGAGTTACCCCGAGCACCACCACCATCCGCAGCCCCACAGAACTTCTCATGGGAACGCGCATAACCAAATACTAGACCGTCTACACCCCAACCGTGCTCCAGACCACCAGCAGGCCCCAGAGCCAGGAGGCACCCTTGCGGGTTCTTCCCGGGTGACCCCGTATACGCCTGGAACTTCTCCAGAGGCCCGGCCTGGAATCCAGCTCGTGTTACCGGTCCCCCTGTCATACGAGGTCTCAACTGGGGACGGCCAAACGCTGAGGAGGCACATCGACCAACTCCACAGCCACTTGCTCCAAGCAGATCCACAGACCCAGCCAGCAGTTCCTGATGACAGTGATGAGCAGCCCCCCACAGCTGCAGGTACCTGAGACCGCGGAGGACTGTGCACCACCCAACCACCCGGAAGGTGGTGTGAGCGAGCAAGCAATCACGGGATCACCGGACACCATACCAGCTCTGCAGTCGCCCATCAGCGCAATGCCAGCTCCAGAGGAAACGGAGGACTGTGCACCACCCAACCACCTGGAAGGTGGTGTGAGCGAGCAAGCAACCACGGGATCACCGGACACCATACAAGCTCTGTAGTCACCCATCAGCGCAATGCCAGCTCCAGAGGAACACAACTTGGAGGCCCCGGCCCCACAGATGGAACCACACCGCTTAACCCCGGAGCGGTGCAGACTAGCATACTTAAGGAACTTAAGGGAACAGTTTCAGAGGGTAGTCTGAGGGTATTTCTACTGCATGGCCTTAAGAAGTGTCCACAGACCTAAAAAAGTCTTGATATATGACCACGCCCCAAGCCATCCTTATCCTGCTTGGTGACAGAATGTATTTAAGAGTAGTATAGTGGCAAACCTTTGTTAATATTATGTACAGAAGGCACTGGGGTTGCTAGGCACTCTACATTGCACTGGTGCTGCTGGACTTCCAGCCCCCCCCCCCCAAGCTTGGATTGTGTTTCTGTGCTTGACATCAGCTGGCATTGCCACAATGACACTGGGTTCTGCTGGGTACTCTGTACACTGCACTGGTGCTTCTGGGCTTACAAAGATGCCCCCCCTTCAATTTCTACTGCAGAGATTCTCTGGTTCTACTTTAGTCCTTTGGAAACAATGGGGGATGGGGGGCATCTTCTTTTGGGGGTAGTGTGTTTCTTAAAATCGAGTCTGGTGAAGTTTGCAATCACTATTTTGTGATGCTTTGGTGAGTGTGTGTTAGTAAAATTTGTAAAAAGGCACCTAGCTCCCCAAAATGCCTTGTAGATGTTTGGGATGGTCAACTCTTGAGCTTCAAAATGGAGAACAGAAGCCCTCCCAAATGCCTGCTTAGAACATGGGTGTTGTAATGGATTTTTTTTTTTTTGCCATCAAGTCACAACTGACTTATGGTGACCCTGTAGTGTTTTCATGGCAAGAGACGTTCGGAGGTGGTTTGCCATTGCCTGCCTCCACGTCAGCCCTGCTTAGCTTCTGAGACCTGACAAGATCAGACTACCCTGGGGCTATCCAGGTCAGGGCTAGGCTAAGAGTAATGTGACTGGCCCAAGGTCACCCAGTAAGCTTCCATGGCATGAGTGGGAATTCAAATGTGGATTTCCCAGATCCTAGTCCAACACTTCAACCACATCACCATGCTGGCTCTCATGATGAAATAGCATGTTGGAATTTGATTTTTCTTTTTTTACTAGCACAATTATATATACAAAGTTATATAAAATAAATTTTCACTGTCTCCTTTTCTTTTCTGGCCATTATTATTATTATTTGTTTTATTTCATGATTACTACTGAAAATAATTTTGTCCTATAGAGGAGGGGCCCTGAAGAAAGGTGGGAGTGTTAAAAAATTATCCACCCTGAGTGCCAAACAGGCTAGGTACAGCATTTAATCATAACTTTCTTAAACTCAATATTCAGACATTTAGATTGGTTCTTTAGAATGGTGAGAATTTTCAAATTTTTCAATGTGGAGAGACATTGACAGTATGACAAAAACAAAAATCTGCTGCTTTCAGATCATACAATTTCCTTATGAACCCATAGTTTTGCCCTACATAATAGCTTAGACGAAACTGAGTGTGGATACAGAGCTCAGGAAATTCTAACTATAGCATACATACAGGGCTGAGATCGACTGAACTGCACAAAAACTCAGACAACTGTTATACTGAGCTGTCAGAAAATGTGACTTAGGGCTTCCACAAGAATCTCATCTCTTACTTACCCATTGGAACCCAATGCACAGCTTTTTAAGAATCTTTACAGAGCCACTCCATACATGATAATGCATTAATTGCCAACAAGTGATAATACAGATATGGTTCACAAGCTTTCAATTTGTTATCTGTGTATTGTGAATTCTGTATAGTCTGAAACTCAGAATGCCCAAACAATAACAGTGAATGTTCATATTCTTTAGTAATGAAGAAATCAGCTGACATGAACTGAGTTACAGAAGTGAATGTAAGCACCTTTATCCTCTTTCATTTGATTAGACAAGATAGATTTACAGTGCAAGCCTAAGCAGAGTTATACAAAATTAAGCCCACTGAAGTTAATAGTCTTAGAAGAGAGTAACACTGTTTAGGATTCAACTGTCAGTACTATAATCTATATTTGAACCAATTAACAATGTCCATTCATTTCAAAACATAAACTAAATACGCTGACTTGTACTTTTCACTTTTTGTGAATCCTGAAGTTGTACTTAAGAAGACTGATTAGCACTCATTGAAAATGAGGACATTTACAGCATTGTTTTAACAACTCAATATATCCAAGATAACTGCAGGCCTGAGTTGGAAAAACGTTTCAAGTGAAGATTAAAAGATTCTGTTATAGCTATCTACTAACATTAACATCTATTTTATATCAAAAACAGTGGAAAGCTTTAAAAATTAAATCTTATATTTGGTTGCAGGAGAAAAAATTATACCAGCAACTCACCTTCAAGGCCATGCCATCTTAAATTTTCCCAACAACTTCAAAATTCATATTGCTATTTAACTAATAAGCCATCTGCTTGTTTCTGCTGTGAATCCTTCAGCTTGTTCTGTAACTCTTACTGCTGCCTCCCAGAATAGGTAGAAATCACATGGCAAGACAATTGAAATGCAAATCCTTTTCAAATCTCTTTAAAGCAGCTGTTCACTATTTCCATGGCTGCCAAGCCTGCAAGGCTGTCAAAGAACAGTAGCTCTCTGTAAGCAAGGCCAATATTATTCTAGCCTCTCTTTTACTCCAAACATACCAAGATACAGTAATCATTAAGCAAGTTCTCTATCACTACTTACTCAGCTCTAATGAATTCTAGGCCCGCGTACATTAGCTCCTAGATCATATTGGGCCCTAACTATTCTAAATAAAGTTTGAGGTGAAAAATCCAAAAGGATTTTAGTAATTTCGTAAACCTAGAGGATTTTCAATCCATTAGATGATTACCCATGCTGGAGACATGTTGAAGATCACCTTAACCTATTTTCACCTTTAGAAAACCTACTATATCAATTAAGTATGAAGTACCCCACATGAATCGGCGGTGAAAAAAGAACTGAAAATTACTCCTGTTTCTTTGTTGAAAAGAATCACAGTTCTGATACAAAACCTTTGTGTGTTAAGTCCCATCAAATCGCTTCTGACTCATGGCAACCCTATGAATTAATGACATCCAAAACATCCTATCGTTAACAACCTTGCTCAAGTCTTGAAAGTTGAGGTGATTGAGATGATCCACCTCATGTTGGGTCTTCCACTTTTCCTGCTGCCTTTAACTTTTCCTATTATTATTGTCTTTTCCAATGACTCCTGTCTTCTCATAATGTGACCAAAGTATGATAGCTTCAGTTTAGTCATTTTACCTTCTAGGGAGGCTTGATTTGATCTAGAATCCACATATTTGTCTTTTTGGCAGTCCACGGTGTCCATAAAATTATCCTCTACCACCACAGTTCAAATTAATCAAATTTCTTCCTGTCAGTTCTCTTAATTGTCCAACTTTCACACCCATACATAGTAATGGGGAATACCGTGGCATGGATTAACTTGATTTGAACAATCAGCAGCACATCTTTACACTTCAGGGTGTTTTCTAGCTCTCTCATAGCTGCCTTCCCAGTCCCAATCTCTTTCTGATTTCTTAGCTGTAGTCTCTCTTTTGGCTGCTGATGGAGCCAAGGAATAGAAAATCTTGAACAATTTCAGTTTTTTCATTGCCAGTGTTGAAGTTGTCAGTGTTGAAGTTGTGCAGTTCCCCAGTAGTCATTACTTTTGTCTTCTTGATGTTCAGCTTTAATCCTTTGGCACTTTCTACTTTAACCTTCATAAGGAGTCATTTCATAAGGAGCCAGTTATGTGGTGTCATCGAGCTTCCAGGGAAATGGCAACTTAAAGGGAGAACGTTTAAAAGGCTCCAGACCTGTCTTGCCGTTGGACATAACAAGTCAGGAAAAGGGAGTATTTATTTTTCTATCTTTACCTCTCCCCCACGGGGGAGACCCAACTGACAGGTGAGCCATGGGGGGGGGGGCTGATTTATCCAGCTCCACCGAGCTCTGATTCCAGCAAGGACAGAGGAGATAAGGTGGCTTCTGGCTTCAAAGTCAACCTCCTCAACTTTTGATCTAATTTGATCTAATTTATTACAGCAAGAGCCAGTAAAACAATACAATTCTGATATAAGAAAGATAAAAACAGTAATAACATAGCAACAGTATAAAAACATTAAGAGAAAATTAATAACATTAGTAAAATAAAATAATATTAATAAGAGAATCATACAATTCTTTCAGCTAAAATAAGTTTACGTTTCTTAATAGCTAAGAAACTAAATTTAGCCACAGTGTAAGTCACTGAGCTCTGGACATCTTCTAGGAGGAATTTACGAAGGACTTCGGGCCTAAAATCAAGATAAAACTGCAGAGGGCTAAATCTAGACAGAAGGAGGAATAAAATGATCTCGTTCCTCCTGATAGAATCTGCAGAACAGGACATGAGTAACTGACATATTAGATAAGGTTGCCAAGTCAGCTGCCACAATCCTTGTATTTTCTGCTCAGGTTGTCAATTGCAGGATTCTGCTAACCTTGAGTTCATGATGGCTTCTAAATAATCTAAAAATGGCATTTGCCAAGTTAGCTGATGAGAACAGATGTGCTGAGAATTTGGAATTATAAGAAAAGGTAATGCCTAAGTATTGAAAGTTCTTAATATGGCAGTTCCTTTAATATTCCAATTGAACTTCCTGAATGAGTTACCAAAATGGACAATTTTAGTTTCAGCGAAATTAATAGTTAATAATTCGGTGTCACATTGCTCTTTAAATTTTATCAGGGCTCGCTTCAGGCCAATCCTTGTCTGGGATAAAAGAACAGCATCATCAGCATACATTAAGATTGGAACCTTTCTGCTACCTGAGAATGAGGAAGCATGAGTATCAATTGAATGAAGGCATGTGATTAAACAGTTAACATAGATGTTAAATAAAAATGAAGCCAGAAGGCAACCTTGTCTGACTCCTTTTTGCACTGGAATTCTTTTCGATAATTTCCCATCTTGTGTGAGTCTTATTTGGATGTTATTATTTCCGTGCATTTTAATTAATAGAAGCGATAGCCTTCTATCTATACCCATGTCAGCCAATTTGGCCCATAGCCTTCCCCTAGAAACATAATCAAAGGCCGCCTTGAGGTCCACAAAGGCCGCATGCAAGGTATTCTTCTGAAGTTTCACATATTTAAAAATAAAGTAATCTAGGACCAGTAGTGCGCCCAAGTGTGAAACCAGCTTGTTCAATTTCAAGTAAGTTGCTATGATCTAGCCATTCACACAGCTTCTAGCAGAGGTGTTTAGTATATAACTTACAAATCACATTCAGAAGACTAATTGGTCTGTAGTTCGATGGGTCATAGGGGCTACCCTTTTTAATTAAGGAAGAATTATAGCCAAGCCCCAGTCTTTAGGAATCTTAGCTGAGGCATCTATATAGGAAAAAAGATTTGCTAAGACTGGAGCCCGCCCATCTACTTTCTCTTTTCTTTCTTTACCAATCTGTAAAAAAATGCCTTTATGGCTCTCTTTTTTTTTACATTTTACCAGACTATAGCTCCAACACATGAGATAAGCAGATCGCCAGCAGTGCCTGATTGCAGCGATAAGAGACATCTTGAAAATTTATGCCTTTTGGACATAACACATCAGGAAAGTTTCCAATCTGTAAAAAAAATGCCTTTATGGCTCTTTTTTTTTTTTACATTTTACCGGACTATAGATCCAACACAGGATATAAGCAGATCGCCAGCAGTGCCTGATTGCAGCGATAAGAGACATCTTGAAAATTTATGCCTTTTGGACATAACACATCAGGAAAGGGGAGAATTTATTTCTCTATTTATGGTTTTTAAATTACAGATATTTAACAAAAGATTTATGTGAACTGTGTAAAAACTAATGGCTGAATTGCCTTTGCAAGCAGGGTGAAAATATTAATTTGACCAGATCAAGTATATCAAGCCCTTTTTTCTTTTCCACATTCTTTCCTGGATGAACTTTATAATTATGGATTATCCTCCCCATGGACAATACAACTGGCTACTTCTCTTTTATTTTCATTTTCCCCCCTCAATGAAAAATGTATAATTAACAGGTACAGTGCCTTGGCTATGGCATGACGCAATAAAGAGAAAGTAAAAAGAAAGCAACACATAAATTGACTGATTCGCGAAAGGATTGATCAACAGAAAAATAAGATTTATTTTCTCCTCCTAATTAATTAGCTAAGCACACTCTTTGATACTCCCTAGAACAAAAAGCAACAAGAAGATTCTGTACTAATTTTTAACAATATTATTTCCTCTTTTTCTAAAAAAACCTCAGACAAATCAACCCACTGGGGGAAATGCCAGGCTGACCCCCCCTCCTTTTTACTTTTTGCCTTTGCTTTCCTTGGGTGAATTACAGCAGACTAACAACCTTCCTTCTTTCAAACTCCTTTGATGCATAGATCTTGCACAGCGGATGAGTCTTTATTATTTTTTAAGGAAAATATAGTGGAGAGATACTTGGTCACTGCCAGTGCAGTCCTTGGATCACTACCCACTAACCGATAGGGGACTTACTATGTTATATTTTGATCCAGTAGAGGGTACTTCTGTTAAAATAGGGGTGTGACGGACTGCCCATAACAGGTTTCCTAGTGCAGCAGTTTCAGAGAGCAGGGAGGTGAAGAGTTAACTCTTCGCTGGAATGGAGAGCTTGAGTGACAAGTTACTCCCTTCCCCCCTTCCCTCTGATTGGCCAGTGGCAGCTGAGGAGAATTATATGATTAGCTGAGTGCTAAGGGCATGGTCCTTTTGGAGTCATTTGGCCAATTGGTCTTTTGGAAGTGAGACAGTCAGTTGGCTTCTGACAGAGTCAGTTGGAGTCAGTGAGTCTGACAAAGTCAGACAGGTTCACCTTTGGAGTGAAGGGAAATGACTCCTTGACTTGTTTTTGATCAATTCTGAGGAAGAATTCAGTATCAACACTGAATGCCTAAGGGTCAGCCAAAGCTGAAGTCCATTTTACATAGACACCAGAACTGGGATTGAGATTTTGGGAAGAGTGATTAGATAGTATGCGGAAACTCCCATCCAGGCCAAAAGAAAAGTTTGTATCTTCTGAGGAGAAGAAGAATTCCTGCCCAGTTACACAAGGGAGTTTGCTCTGAGGAGACCTCTGGTCTATTGTGAAGGGAACTGAATTCAGACACCTCAGGATATGGTTTCCAAAAGGGGGGGAGTTTAGGTACACAGATAAAGAGACTGCCTGCTGGAAACCTGAAGAGTCATGGGAAACTATATGAAGAAGCATTGTCACTGTAACTAAAATACTCACATGCCTCTCCACTGTTAAGATCCAAAAACATCTGAAAATAAGCTTCAACAACACTATTTTGATTGCTAAAAGAAGTATAATCTGTAGTAACACTATTTTCACCTCAGCATCTCCAACCCGACTACACCTATTCAATCTGCCTGTTAAATAAAACTGTTCTTTCTGTTTGAATGTT